GCTTGGGCATCTAACCAGTCATTGTTAGCTTTTATATATTCTGCGCTTTTCATTGCCTTTTGCATGGCTGCGTCGTTATTTTTACTTTCTTGTGCTAAGTTTTCATACTGTACGGTTTGGTTTTGCAACTGTAAAAGTTTTTCTGCCTTTACATTTGCTTCAACTTCTTTTTATACTCATCGCTATCCATATATGTCTTCAGGGCTTTTTGTTTTATCTCTTCATCTTTCAGTACTTTATATTGAGTAGTATGGTTTTTCAAATTTAAAACATCTTGTTCCATTTTTGCTACTTCTGCTGCTTTTTCTGACACTTTTTTCGCATATTGCTCTGTACTTAGTTCTTTCAGTTGTTCTTCTTTCTTCTTTTTCTCTACGTTTAACTCATTGAGTTTCTTTGTGTGTCTGTCATATTCTAGTTTCTTTTCGTTTTCACCTATTTGCTTCTGTATGTCTATGTTTGACTTTTTGACATCTGCTATTTGATTTTTGAGTGAACTCAAATTCATTTGACTTTGAGGGTTATATGCTGTTCCGTCTGCAGCTCCACCATAGCCTGCCATTTTCGCTAAAAGTGCCGCTCTTAAACCTCCACTCTGTGCACCAACAACTCGGTTTAAAAGCATAGGATTGCTTGACATTTGTTGCAACATAGTGGGGTCATTCATCATTTGTTGTTGCAACTGTTGTTGTGGTGTCAGTCTTACTATTGGATGTTTCAATGCTCTCTTCCTCTTACGTATATTCTTACGTAGCTTACGTGGCATTTTAAGTGAAGTTAAAAAGAGGCTTTTGACAGATGTTTATATGAGACTTTCTCCGGTTTATAGGACCTCTCTCATATTCTATCTTGTTAAGACTTCCTGGACTGTTGTCAAAATGTCATGTTGTCTCATTTTTTCAGAGAAGTTCGTTTAACCGAGGGACCGAGGGACCGAGGGACCTGGTGACGTAGCGATGATAGACCCTTACTTGTCCGGACATAGTTCTACTATTTTGAGTCCTCTACCGAAAAGTCAACAGCAACGACTTTCAAAAAATTTTAGGGGCTAGAAGGCACGAAGTGCCTGGAAGGCCCCACACCCCAAAAAAACCTCATTTTATATAAACTGCATGTTATACTAAACATCTTCAGGGGGCTAGAGGGGCGCAGCCCTGGAAGCCCCAATACCTTTTTTTTTTTTTTTTTTTTTTTTTGATTTTATTGTTTTCGTGTATAGATCCGTATTTTTCCCAAGTGAGCGGGGTATCTCCAATCCCAGCCCTATCGTCCTCCCAGTGTCAGTTTTCAATATAAAATCCAAATTTTTTTTGAAAATAAAAATTTCGAGAAATTTTTTTGATTTTTTTCTTTGATTTCAATAATTCAAAATAAATTTGGAAGTAAAAAGACACTATTTAATGAAATTCATATGAGTGAATGTGGATAAATACTCTCAAAACATACAATTTATCTATTTTTTCTTTATATTATCAACTAATTAGTGATAATTTTTTTTGAATCAGATTTTTTTTTCATTAAAAACATAATATATAACACAACAATGATGCACACATACGTATCTACACATCAAAATATAAAGCTTGTTTTGGTCTGGGCATCCCAACCCAAAATTCTTAAAAAATTGAATAAAATTGAATACTTGGGGCTGGGATACCCATCCCAAAACCGAATTGAATTTTTTGAATTAAAGAATATATTTATGTATTTATAATATACATGTGATGTCTATAAAAAATACTAAATTCTAAAAAAATTCAATTTATTCAAAACGTATACTAAGTGATCACTTCATTAGTAGGATCAGCAATCCTACTAAATGGTGAGAACGCCACTAACTAAAAAGGGAGTCCTTGGAGCTCTTGATCTCTTGTCAGTAGAGTTCATAATGAGGCATGGCATCTACTGATTTGAGATCAGAGCAATCCTACCTTACCTTCAGGAGCTACAAAGCTCCTAATCGTTACGAGAGGGAGCCTTGGAGCTCCTGAAGCTCATCAGCAGAGGCTATTTACCATTTGGGCCTCTTCTGATGAAAGATGCGAAACACATCTACGAACCAGGAGCTCCAAAGCTCCTAATCCTTACGAAAGGGAGCTTTGGAGCTCCTGAAACTCCTTTTACTATAAAATAGGACAGTTTTCTTCTGAGGTTCTCATCAAATCTAAGACTTCAGAAGAAAGCTGTCCTATCAATGTATACTTACACTCTCATGGACTACAAGTGTACAATTTTAAGGCAGAGATTATCCGAGGCCTCTCATCAAATGAGGGACCTCGGATAATCTCTACCTTAAGTAGTCAAATAACTTTTCTCACTATTTAGGAACAAAAGAACAAGAGTTGGAGTACTTTAAGGCAAGATTCTTCCGAAATCTCTCATCGAATGAGAGACTTCGGAAGGACCTTGCCAAATCCTTGAACGCCAATATCCTTGGAACTGAGCTAGAACCAGGGAGAAGTAGCATACTATAGAGCACGATGGTAATCTCGGAAATGCTTATATCGCCCCAAGCACAATATTTAAGAAGTCTAACTCATATATACAAGAAGTCAGGCTGAATAGATATTGTGCATATGGTTTGCAGAACTCTCATGATATTTAAAATTCATGTTATCCCAAAAAGGTGACACTTTGGGTGTATCGTCCATCCCAGGGATGCAAAAATCACATCACCTTGGATCTATATTTTCGTGTGTATTTGAAAGTCTCAACATAATTTTCAATGCTCGATTTTTAAAAACAGTTTAAAAATGGAGCTTATATTGAAATAATGTAGAGACTAAGAATTATCACAGACTATTTCAGAGGATTGAGTTGTCACTCAATCCTCTGAAAAGTCTGAGTGAATTCGAAAAATTTATCATTTGATCGGCATCTGAACCCGTCAGCAATTTTTGAACACGAAAAATTTGGAAACGTTATATATTATATATAGGAAAAGTTGATGTATTTTGTTAATAATAAATTCAAAAGCAAATTTTAGTTTGCTTAAAGCTAAATAGGACTTTCTATGCCCTGTATTATATCTAATTACTGCTGATTCTCGTTCTTCTTTGAGATCTTCAGCTTGCCGAGGAACTTGGAGCGTTCTTCCTTTGTCTGGAAGCGGCCGTGTCCGAACTTGGAAGCTGTATCGATCCACTTGAGGTTGATTTCTTCTGTAGCGATACGGCGTGTATTGATGTTGATTGTCTTGCGGAGTGTGATGGCGCGCTTGACTGTGCCGACAACGGAGCCCTTGATCATGAGGAAGTCATCCTTGACAAGGCCGTAGTGTGGGAAGCCACCCATTGGGTTGATTGACTTCTTTGTAAGATCGAAGGATGTAGAACCACCCTCGTTGATCTTTCCTTCAACTTCGGCAGCACCGATTCTGTAGATGCGCTTGTTCATCTCTGTACGGTGGTGGCAACCGCGCTGGCCGTAACGAGCGACTGACCAAAGAACACGAGCTGGGTTCCATGGGCCGATGCAAGCAACTTTCCTGCGGCCACGGTGAGTCTTCTTCTGAAGACGCTTTGTGCCGTAACGGTGGATAACACCTTCCCAACCGAAACCTTTGCCAACACCGATTGTGTCGATCTGTTCGCCCTCTGTGAAGACATCGGCGACCTTGATCTCCTTTTCGAGGATGGACTTGGCGTAGTTAAGCTTAGCAGCAACATCGCCACCGTTGATCTGGTTTTCGATCATGTGAGCCTTCTTCTGGCCAAGGTGGTTGCCCTTGAGGACCTTCTTGGCGCCTTGCTCGTTGGCATCAACACCGCGTGTTGTTGTCTTGGCGGACTGTGTGTGAGCGATGACACGGATGACTGTAGCCTCCTTCTGGAGTTCTTCGAGTTGCTTCTCGCGCTTCTCAGCAGCCTTGCCGTTGGAGAGGCAGGAGAAAGCCTTGCGAGCCTTGGACTGGTACCAGTTCTTGTAGTAGTTACGCTTGACTTCTTCGTTGACGTAGGAAGCCCAGACTGTTGTGACTGGCTTGAGGCCCTCAACTGTTGGCTTGTAGCCGATGATACCAACAACGAACATTGGTGGTGTTTCGAGGATTGTGACTGGTTCACAAGCTTCCTTCTTGTGGAGACGGGAGTTTGGACGGACAACATCACGGAGAACGTGTGTCATACCAGCCTTGTAGCCGATGAAAGCGCAAAGATGTGGCTTCTGGGAAGCATCATCCTTTGGCCATGAGCGTACACGGCCACGGACGGCATGGGAACGGCCACGTGGGAGGAAGCCGAGGGAACCACGGCGTGGAGCGTTGAATTTGCGGTGAGACATTCAAACGAATGAGTTCTCGTCACTTTTTAGACGGCCTAGTCACTTTTATATGGAGCCTTGTCACGTTTATTGAAGACATCATTTCCTTTCAATTTTTTGCATCATCTTCGAAATAGCTCCTAAACATATTCCTTATTCTAATTATTTTAAATTTGTCCATTGATTCAGAATTTTCAGATTATCGAATTGAGTTGAAAGTAATTTTGGCTTTCGCCTATCCCCATCTCATAATCACACACTGAAAGAATTAACATCAACTAATGTTAATACTCTTAATTAGAGATCTTATCTTATGAGGAATTATATTTGCATCATTATAAAATATTTCATTTAACATCTATATACACTTAATATGAGAATGCATTTTACTTGATTACAATAATCTCAAATGCATTGTATATATTTTGAATATATTTTTTATGCTTTCAATGCATTTTATCCCCAAGAATGCTTCCTATATTTGAGATATGATCAACACTCATTGTTTCATAGGCTATATTTATTATTGAAATTTGATCTGGTTTTTCTAACTCTAAAATCCCTGTGAAATCAGTTGAATATGTTTTGTCTTGCTGTTGACAATCTGTTTGCACAATAAGATTGCTGATGGGTGCCTCAATAGATCAACTTTTATCTGAAAATCAAAAATTCCGATGAAGAAAAGTACTCCTTTAGACATTTCAAATATAGAATTATCAGATCAAAGTTATAGTGGCACCATGTCCAGTGATGGTGATGGCTATGACATTGATGGCGATGATCAGGATACTTTTTCTCTTCCACTTGATTCATTAACTCAATTATTTAAACCACAAGAATTCAAAAACTCAGTAGATTCAACAATACCACACAATACTGATTCCATTTACGATATTAACAAGTTAAATACTCCAATTTTCTCTCATCCAAATAATCAAATCCATCAAGTAGCATGCGCATATCTCCTTTGCTCATCTTCCATTTACTTTCCTCCACCGGATTCTGAATATTTCACTGATAAACCAACCATTTATATGTGGAGAAACATGAGTAAAACGCTGCCCAGCGATTTCTCGTCATATGTACAAGAATACTTTCACGATAAATATGTCTCCATAAAGAAACAATTAAGATTTTTCTTCCAAGTCGCCCCTTCTATTGAAAAATTACAAAATATTGCCACAATGAGAAGAGAAATTACCACTGGGAGGATTCTATTTCATTACATTGGCTATGGTTTTCCAAAAATAAAGGAATGCATATATGCATTTGATAAAAAAACAAACAAATTCGTCGATTATCCTTTATGTGATCTTTTTGATGCTCTCAAACCACCTACATGGTTTATTTTCGACTGTTCATACGCAGAATGTGCATTCAAAGTGATCAAAAACATAGCAGATTTTAAATCTCGAACAAAATCTACGAAAACTAACTGGTCTGATTGGTTTTGCTTCTGTGCAACAAGCGCAAATGAGCAATTACCAGCAGATCCGCACCTTCCACGTGATTTCCTTACATCTTGTCTCTTAACTCCGATAAGAACCGCAATATTATGCCATATTTTACAATATTATAGGACAACATTGGTCAACGATGACTTCCCATTGCGAGATTTAGACGGATACCTCCTAAAAATCTGCAATGAAAAGAATGAATTGACTCCTTTGCATGATTCCCTCACAAAAACGCTAAATACCATTACAGACGCCATAGCAGCCGAAGCCATTCCATTACATATCTACCAATCTATCTTTTCCGCTGATGATTTGACTACAACTTTATTTAGAAATTTCTTATTGGCCCAATTTCTTCTTAGACCACTCCACGTTCATCCAACGTCATTCCCATTACTTCCTGATTTATCTATGCATCCTTTATGGCAGCATTTGAGGACTGCAATCGACATTTCGGTTTTTAGTGGTTTAACTTTGACTCCTTCTTTCCATAATGATATTTTCCAAAGGGCTTTGACGACATTTTCGGCTTCTTTGGATAATAACACGGCCATGGAGCTCGCAATCCATATTTTTGTTATTTTATTTCATCTTCCGCCAGATTTCGAACAGAGATCGCGTTGTTTCAAGTTACTTGCGAAGTACGCGTCATCATCACCTGATGCAAGGAAGGTTTTGACCAAATACGCTACAATTGACTTCATTTTTTCAACATTATTATCTGATTCTTTCTTAAACGACCCTTCTTCGTTCCACGCTGCAGCGTACTTGGCCATTGTGATGTTTGAAAGCACAAGGAGCTTCACAAACTTCAAAGAAAAGTATGATATGAAATTATTAGAATCTGCCTTGTTTAATACGAACTTTCCTGACAATACAAGGGCTCTAGTGTCTGTAATTATTGCCACATTGATCCCTAACAACGAACAAATGCGGCAAATTGCAGTTTCAGAGGAGTTTGTACTCAAATTAAGAAAAATGTTAGAAACATCAACAGAACTTTTAAGTTTATGGTCATTAATAATACAAAGAAGGATGTTTGACTCCTTCGGTGTTGATCTTTTCCAATTCTACGGTGCAGGACTCCACATTCAAACAGCATCTTTCTGTTTGAACCACTCCTCGCTTGTTTCAGCGGCCGCCATCGCCACCACTCCATGTCTCCTGCAAAGCGGACAGGATATTGTCAACATGCAGCTCTTTGGTCTGTGCATGTTGTGCGGATTTGACGCAAATTACGTTGTCAGGTTCAATTTCATCCTGTTTGTAAGGAGATTCTTGTCGATATATAGCGATAAGATACCAGGGAACACGGCAATTGGCAAACTCGGCCATCAAACATTCGCATCTTTAATTGATTCGTGGTCGGACAATGATTCGGTCACTTCACTTGGCCAATTAATAAGTGACTTCAGTGCATTATGTCGTACTGTGCAAGATATAATGCGTCGAAACGATTCCTTGCGGAGATTCATCTCCATTGCGATGTTTTTCGCACAATTTATGTGTGACGATCCACATCCAAGCGTCAGGAAGCACGCCAGACAGATAAATCAGACAACAGAAGGTCTGTCTGGTGTCCAGACGTACAGGGGTCGCGAAACATCCAATGCAAATTCAGCTCCTGTCTCCGCGACATCGAATTTTGAGATGATTTCGAGTCCTGGCAGTTTTCCATCTCAATTTTCCAGTTCATCCAGTGATGATGAGACATCCGTTCCATCCTCGAATGATAACCAGCCAAAACCTGCTTCATGCGATTCAGGTGGCGACGCTTTGTATAAAATGGCTGTTCAAGATTTGGTCGTAAATGGTTACATGTCAGAAAAAGTGTCAGAAGATTCATCGAGTAAAATTTTCACGGCGGCGCCGATTGATTTCTTGGAGACGACTAATATAACACTCTCCAAGACTTACTCGTTCCCAGGATCTATCACGTCGCTGTCTTTCGATAACGATTCGAGAGCTATCGCATGCGGTTTTTATGATGGGTCAGTAAGCTATATTAAAGAGGACGGAAAGATTAATAAATTAAGGCTAAGTTCAACAGTTAGTTCTTTAGATGTTGTTAACATCGGGAACAATAATTACAGTGTATGCGGTACAGACAATGGATGCTGCTACTTCTGGGACATGCAATCTTTGTATCCTTTGTGTTGTTTCAGATGCGACGGATCTCCACTCCAAAAGTCGCCACAGCTCATCTCAATGATGCCAGATAACTCCAAGAAATTCCTAACAGCACGTGGAAACTGCGGCGCTGTAAAACTTTGGGATTTCGGATCTCAAAAATTAATTAATGAGTGGCTGCCAACGGCCAACAACAAAGATAACGTAATCACGAGCTTGTTGGCATGCCCCAATGGCAATGAGGTCGTTGTTGGCTACAACACAGGCTTATTAGTTTTATTAGATGTCAGAGCTGACAATTACCAGCTTGTTATCAACGCGAATGTCATGGATATGTCAAGAATAGTTGATATCAAGTCATCCGGAGAAAGAACCTTCTTCGCGGCTCACGAAAACGGACAAGTTTCTCAGTGGACGAATTTTGAGTCAATGACGAACTTGATGAGCATTGATGATGACTGCATTAGATCATTCGATGTAATGAAGTCATCATCAGTTCTGTGCTTGTCATCAAAGAAAGCGTCGCCAAGCTTGATTTCATTTGATGGAAAGATTATGCATAATATGAAAGACGCTGGAAGTTGCGCTTGCGTGAAATTCCATAATTCATTGCCTATTGTTTCCGTTGCTTCAGCAAATGGAAAACTTTATGAATATGAAATTCATAATTTGTAAGTATTTTTTTATATTTTGTAGTTTTTAGATATATAAATATATAAGTTTAAAAGATATTAAGTATTTCAAATCCCTGATTCAAGATCTAATTCTAAATAAAAATATTGAGATCTAATTCTTGAATTTATTTTTCTATATATGTGTAACATAGCTTAATAACAATACAGTAGTTTGATGATAATAGTCTTATGAGAAAACAATTCTTTACATGTTGATTTAATGCTTTTTCAAACAAATATTTGTAAATTATCTGCTTTATCTCTTCAATTTGAACTTGCTTTAAGCTTAGTGTAGATAAATATCATAATTACTCAAAGCAAGCCCATTAAAAAATGATCTACTTCATGATTTTCAAAAATATTGAAAAATATTTATGAAAAAACAAAAAGTATTAGTTTGATAGCGTTTATCAATGAAAAATAAAACATAAGAATATCATGAAAAGCATAGAAATTATAAAAAATAATTTGAAAATAAAATTTCCAAATCCGGAAGTAAAAAAAAGGTCGAATATAATATACATTGATCAATGTGGATCCAAGAGTTCTGAGTGATCAAATGACAATTGAACGTTATTCGTATTAATAAAAAGATCTGTAAATAAAATAAAGAAGAAAGGTATTATTTGGCCGAAAAGCTCCCTTATGACAAGGCTAACAAATTGGCCAACTGAACAAACGACGTCAATCGCTGAATGGCGAGAAATCATCACTTGGAAATAAATTCTCATTACAACGCGTACGAATAGTCCAAATGCTGCAAGAATACAAAGTCCAAGAACAACTTGATCGCCAGAAAACGATGAACAAGATAACCTTACTTCCATTGCATAAAACATCAATACAATGAATGCAGTAAATATAATAGCAAGTATTAAATCAACTGACAATGCAAAGTAGTTTTCAAAATCACGAAGAATATTTTTTGTTTGAGAAACTGTAATTTGAACAAAAAACGTTAGAAAAAATACAATTACTGATATAGGAGTAAGCGCTATTGATGTGTATTTGATTGTTTTTATTGTACAATGTAGATTAGAACTAACAAACGTTAAAAATAAGTTACACCAAGTAATCAAGATCAGGCAGAACGATATATCAACGATGTAGCCTGGAAATGTTGTCATGAAAAATGATAGATGCTTGACAGTTTCTTTTCTTTTCAAAATTGCCGAAGTAAACATGACAGCGGACTTTAATATCAGCATAAATATAATAAACAATCGAGATATTTTCATGTCTGTAGATAGTTTTACAAATCGTGCTTTAGTTCGAAGATATGAAAAAATTGCAAAGGCGAAAAGAACGAAGTAAAAGATGCCATATATCACATATGCACTTATAAACTGGTTTTGAGCATGAATATCAGCGCATCGTGAGGCATTTGCTTCAATTTCTTCGGCAATAGAATTATCCATAATTGACACTTTTTGGGTTCAATCGGATAAAATAGATTTCTAAGCAAATATACCAATATTTAGATGCATGCCATAATGTCGAAATCCTTCTTGGACCAAAATCGGCAAAGAGCAATACCACTCAGATCTTTCACCAAAATCACTGAATTTTATTTATGATTCTCACATATGGATTCAAAAATATTAAAAATCAAGTCCCTTATCTTGCTTTTACTCGTGTTTCACTTATATTCTTTAAACCAAAATTTTTTATTTATATGAAGAGCGGTGCTTTTCTAAGTGCAAACATTGTCTTATCCAGAAAAGAGTCTATAGCAGAACTCTCATTAATATGTGGTATAAGATGGCTATTAAGCTTCTTTCCTTTTTGCTATGACATTGAAATAAATAAAAGCATATATAATTATACAATAGAAACGCCATCAAAGCAAAAATTAGAAAACATAGTTGTCGTGTTTGAAATTAAACAAGCTTGTTCACAAAAGGACTTCAAAATTCGATCATGTATAATAGGTAAATGTTCAGCTGATGAACTGAAGAGCATGAATGATAGTTAGGAAATGGGGCAAATGTAACATTGTTTCAAGGTGAAATAAAGCAATAAAAGTTATTGCATCATATAAAAATAGGTTTGACGTTGTAAAGTATTGAAATTTTTTGAATGCTTGTCAGGGCCATTTTTGGTCATTACACGGTGGCTAGCTGCATGGCTAGTCTCCGCCAGTTTGACCGCATAAACGAGGTTCTCAAACGGTAAGCATCGTGTGATCCGTTTCGCACAGCTCCTCAACAAATCTTTCTATTTTATTAGAGTTTTATTAGAGTTTGTTGCTTAAGCCCTATGCGATTTCGCAATTACAGAGCGATGTAATGAGTGGTTTCTAAAGTCAATACATTTATTATCGAAAATTTAAATAAAAAAATATTTTCGAAATGGAACAAATTTTGAATGCCCTGATTTATCATGCTGAGTTTCAGAGTTGATGCTCATAGAACTTTGAGATATTAAACTCTTCCTTTTTCATATTTTGAAATAGTGATTTATTGATTTAAAATTTCTGGATAATTGATCAACAGCAATGAGAAGGTATTAAGTGAATAGCAGAAATTATAATTGTATTGAATATATAATTCAATGAAAAATTGTAAAATACGCGAAAATTGGCGTGTTTTCACCTGAGTTTTTATCATCTGGATTTATGAGATAGATCAAATAACAACAATGAGTTAAAATAACGAATTTTCGATTTTTTTATTCACTTTCAATTTCAAAATGTTAGTAAAGTGGAAATGCAATTTGGATAAATGTCGAAACATTTAGGATATACGAATTTAATTTTGTAAAATAGGTTAAATAAAAGACTATCCTCGTTGCACATTTGAAAAGCTATAAAATATAGAAATACCGCGATATTATTTATAATTTCAAATTTCTCCTAGCTTGCGCAGAATCTGAGATGCAAAGTACCATGTGGGACACCCTGTACGCCATATTAAAGAAGAAGTTCTGCTGTTTCTTTACTGTTATGTAATGATGCAATATGAAGAGACATTTTTCCATATTCATCTTTTTAATTGATATTTGCGCCATGTTCAATAAGAAGTTCAGCAGTTTCTTTACTATTATGAAATGATGCAATATGGAGAGCGCTCTTTCCAATTTTATTTCTTTCATTGATATTCGCACCATGTGAAAGAAGAAATTTGGCGGTTTCTTTATTATTATTTTCTGCTGCAATATAGAGAGCAGTATTTCCATAATTATCTTTTTCATTGACATTTGCACCATACGAAAGAAGAAGCTCTACTATATCTTTTATACTATGTAATGCTGCAATATGGAGAGATGTTTTTCCATCTTTATCTCTTTCATTGATATTTGCGCCATATGAAAGAAGAAGCTTTACTATATCTTTTCTATTGTATAATGCTGCAATATGGAGTGATGTTTTTCCATCTTTATCTTTTTCATTGGTATTTGCACCATATGAAAGAAGAAGTTTTAATATTTCTTTATTAATATTACATTCTATTGCAGTATGGAGAGCGGTTCTTCCATAATTATCTTTATCATTGATATTTGCACCATGTGAAAGTAAAAGTTCTGCTGTTTCTTTACTAAAAAATATTACTGCATAATGAAGAGTGGTTTTTCCATATTGATCTTTTTCATTAAAATTTGCACCATGTGAAAGAAGAAGTTTTAAAATTTCTCGATTATTATGTTTTGTTGCAATACGGAGAGCTGTTTTTCCATTATAATCTTTTTCATTGACATTTGCACCATATGAAAAAAGAAGTTCTAATATTTCTTTATTATTATATTCTGTTGCAATATGGAGAGCTGTTTTTCCATAACAATCTTTTTCATTGATATCTGCGCCATATAAAAGAAGAATTTCAACTACTTCTTTATTATTCAATTTTGTAGCGTAATGTAGTGGAGTCATAATCTTATTATCGAAACAATTGACTCTAAATTTATTAGATGAGGCAAGTAATACTCTACAAAAAGCAGAATTTTGCGATTTACATGCAAAATGTATTATATTCCTAAAACGATAATCAGTTTTGTCAGGAAATTCATTGTTTCTGAGAATATCTATTGTTTGTGGAAATGCAGCACACCATGGAACAATAGAATTTTTATCCTTCTCGAAAAGCAAAAATACGGCCTTTAAGTTTTGATATTTGATTATATATTTAAAACCATCCGATCTTTTGATACTTTGAATCCATTTTTCAAATATGAAATCTTTGGTATCAAGAATGTATTTAAGCATTTCATTATTATGTGAACTAACAATGTGTTTGAGATAATTAATATTTATTTTATACTCTTTCAAACATTCATTGATAATATCTGTATTACGACCAATTATTGAGTAGCAAAGACAATTCTGTGTTTTTTGGCATATTTGATTTGAAAGTAAGAAGTGGAAAATGTTAACAGATCCAAAATAGGCACATGCTTCAATCAATGATAACTTTATAGAATTGCAATCAAATTGTCCTGATATATCAGGAATTTCAAGAAAGCATAGTTCCGGCACTATTCTTTTTTGAGTAATATATACTTTGAACTTATCAATTTGATCATTCATAACTATAAATTCAATTGAATCCTCCATTGGGAATCTTGTTTCCGTAATTTTATGAAAGTCGGCACCGATATGTTTGAGTATTTTTATTTAATTCTCTCTAGAAGAATAATTGTACTGAAATGCCATGAGAATAATCTTGGTAAGTCGCTTGATCGAAAGCTGATACTTTGTTATCAAAACGTATGTAATAGTATTACACATATCTTCAATAGATTCGTTATATTTGATTTGGAAAAGCTTTTCAAATGCCTCAATAAAGTCGACATATTGTTTTGAATAGTCTGGACCAAGTTGATTTTGGATCATTTGACTGGACAAAAAATAATTTTTTTATATTTTTTTCCACAGGTACTAAAGATTAGAGTCTCATGGCCATTCTGCAATGAAAACTCTGTTACAAATGCTATTTCTATCTTCCTTCTGTATAACAGATATAGAATTTGACATTTTTTTGCGAAATCAAATCTAAAAATTCAAGTATCTTCTTTCTCTACTTGAGATGCAAATAAAAACCTTCTTGTGTATGTTGTTGCAATCAATACTTAGTTAGCAGAATCCCCTTAAAATACATTTTGATTGAATATGATATTGTATTTACAGATTAACAAACTCATATGAACTTAAACATATACTGTTATTATACAATGGACGAATGTTTATATATGCATTTATTGAATAAATCTTAAGAGTTATTCAAAATAATATTCATATTAACATTCAATTTCAAAGATTATTAGGTAATAAATAGACAGACTTTTAACATGATCGAATTAATTTAGAGGATATTTTTAGTTATTAGAGAATTTCTAGAGAATTTTCGAAATATTTTGAAAGTAAAGTGCTTGGATCAGAATGATACTTGGTAGGGTTGGGATTGAAGTCTGGTTCATAAATGAAGAATATGTTAAATAAAATTCAAATCTCACAATTTAAATTGTTAACATTGGCTGGAAATGACAAAATTTTGTAAGGAATTTCCGATTAAATAAACGAAAAATGGAAAGAACGATCTATTTAGAGAATGTGCTGCACGAGCAAAAGTCCGTGCATGAACAATTAGACTCTGTGATAATAACAAAAAAGAATTTAGAACAACAAGAAAAGAGATTCGAAAAAATGATTCATGACATCCAATTTAATGGCAAAAAAACAATGAGTGTTTTTCAAAAGAAACTAGACAATATGCTGGAAGAGAATTCGGAAATGGTTTCAACTGATGTTTCTCTACCATCAACTGAATTTATGGAAAAACAATTTAAAAAAATCGAATCTTATTTCAATAGTAAACCTCCACCCAATGATTTTGCTACTGTTCTTGAATATCTAAATAAAGGCAAAATTTTTGGCCGAGAAAAAGCTACGAATAATAATTTCGAATATAATATGGAGCAACTGTTTCTGAAATATAAAAGGATTCATAAAATTGATGAAAATAATTTGTACTTTCTTCTCGACTTTGAAAGTAGTCCGCGATCTTTGCGAAGAAAGATTAAAATATTGCTCAACTCAATGAATTGTGCTGATGATCAGTTTACGTATAACTTATCTCAAATGAACCTCGATATTACTACATTATCTAACGCAATTGAAAACAGACTAGTCTGAAGAGAATTTCGAACGATGTGCATTGGATTTGCCTGTTTCTATAGATTTTTAATCATCATGTAGTTGATTATGATAATTTTTTGTATTATTTTCGATATTTATTTCATTATAACAGTTAGAATAAGCAGTATATGCTGATTCTGATTGTGTTATTATATATTTCTTTGTTGTTATTAATAAAATATGATATTACTAAAATAAAATAGATTATTTTTAATTTTTTTCGATGAAACCTCGATATCTATGAGTATGCATGATATTGAAATGTGCCTAAGCATTAGGTGAATGTCTAGTGATTATTGAAAAGCTAAATTCTTTCCCAATTGATAAAAAAAAATCCGAAAAATTCTTATTTTATCAAATATTCTTTATTTAACAACTAAAATCAATTACCTTTCTGCTTTTGCACAGTAGACCTTCTGAGTGAAGAGAAGAACTTAAAGCTGGAATAAGTTATAATTGGAAACAGGACAATCATCATTAAAATAAACGGAAGATTTTTGCCACCACTGCCTGGCTCCATTAAAGTAGCTGTGTAAGTAAACCATTGTTTTTTGTGATAATTCTGAATTGTTAAGGATATGGATTGGGAAGGTATAACTGTAGCTGTTACATTCCATTTCTTGTCTGTTGAATTAACGTTTGATGTGAATGCATTGTTTTGTTTCGTGAATCTAAAATCTGCAAATTTTGGTTCACTATAATACGGCAATATTAGAACGTAGCGTGAATCCTCTTCTAACTCTTTAATATGCAACTTCTCGGTATAAAATCATGCTTTTTAGACGAAATTGTTCTTCCAACTAATTTCCCTTCTTTTTTTTTATAATTAGTCTAAAATTTGCATCATCTATCCTATTTCCTGTAACAGATACATTCCAGCGGCCTTTGAACTGAAATTGAGTTGACAGACAAAATAATGCAAAAAACATTTTGAAATTTTACAGTAGAATTTTAGGAAAAGAAATATTTGGTTTATGAACTTCGCTAAACAAAATGTGAAACAGCTGTTTTTTAGGCCACAAAAAAATTCAACAACAATTATGGGAAATTAAGTCGTTTTTTCAATGCCAAACTATGTAACTAGACCTTATTAACAGATTTCAGCATACAATTCTATGAAAAGCAATTACGATATAATGTTGTCTTCAAACTGGAGACTAAAAAATGGGTGATTATTTCCTTTAAACGCATGATAATTTATTAATTACTACAAACAATATGGATATACTAATCTATTCCTTGACATCAATTGGAGAGTCCAATGTAATACTTGGTTCCGAGTGATTTCGGAATAATTTAAGATTTTGTTGCTTTCCACAATTCCAAAATTGAGGAAGAGGTTCTTCAGATAATTTTGGCTTCGGTATATCCGTCTTTGTATTCATTCCAGATAAATCAAATTGGGGTGATGATTCATTGAACGCCCTGCTTGCAACTTTAAAGAAAGCATGACGTTTCATTTCAATTCTAGACATTTTTATATCTTTTAAGCGTGCAACTTCCATTTGGCTTGCGAGATTTGTAGAGAGATATAATTTATCGTTAAATTCTTGTTGGTCCTTTGTCGCATTCATCCACATAATCTGTTCTGGAGTATAAGTTTGAGTTGTTTCGTCCTGAAGAACGACAATGTGGTCGAAGTTCTGTATACCATAACTCTCTAATTTCATTGAAGAATGAAGGGCCATACCATGATAAATGAAACATTTTGGTGAGTTTGCAAACAAATTGCTTAATTCGCTCACTCTAGTTGACTTGTGAACCAAGATCTTCTTTATTATTTGCTTTGGTTGACACAGGTAAATGATCAACTGATCGTCGCAGAAAGCCATCCGCAATTTTTTTATGGGTTTTTTTGAATTTAAATTCAAAAGTAAATTTGAATTTGAACATAAAATTTCGGCAATAAAGAATATTTAGACGGGTCGATATAAAGTTTTTTATTTCGTAAAAATCGACAGTATTCAATTTGAATATGGGAAAAACGTTTTTTGTTTTTCTATTCAATCTAACATCTGAAAGTTTATTTATCCTATGCCATATTTTTATGAATGAGAACGTTTCAACGACCAGTGCTATTTCGTGTGCTTAATAATAAATAGAAAATTTACCTGACTTCATCAGATTCGGTGAAAAATCGATCTTTCTTACTGCAATTATTTTCTTTATCTTTGCATCCAATAGTATATTTTAATTGTTTGAATGCGATTTTAAGGAAATTTACTCGTTTCGTATGAAGGTTTTTCTTAGAATAGAAAATTCGGAATTAATTTTTGTCTTCAACATATTATTCATGATGAATTTGATTTGTGGAGAATTGTTTATTTCAACTAGCGATTCCGTGAAGAATTTTAATGAAGATAAGATCACATTCTCTATTGATCCAAAATTTTATGCTGTAAGATATCTCAATGATAGGATAATATGTAGAAATCAGTTCAAGTAAGGATGTCAATTCGGAAAATTGTTTTCATTTTAGGAGAATATAATTTTCCTTTTGGAAAATTTAAAAAGTGAGACGCGCAGGATTCGAACTTTTTTAAAAGTTGATTTAAATATATTCTAGTGTGGATTCTAAGGATAATATCATATTTAAAATAAGAATATACGAGTTTAGGTGGTATAATTTTTTCGATAAATTTGAGAGTATGTACGTTTAGGGCATCAAAAGTGTCAATTCGCTCAGCGAAAGCTGAGCTAGCTTCGTTCTCGAAAAAATAGGGAAGGAGTGAAAGAGAGTGATACAGATGTTGACACATTCATATCATTTCAACAAATTTTGATCAAATTGAAATTCAATGAAATTCAATTCACTTCATATCCTTCAGTCAGTACATTGACATCCTTCTACATCACAATGATAACTCGTGCATCAATAGTTCTACAACTAACTCAGAAAAAACAAGATTTTTCCTTCCAGCTTACAGCTTTTAAAAAGTTTCGATGATAAAAATCACTCTACTCTTGTTTATCGATATGTTGTGATAGTAGGTAAACGTATTCTTATCGATATTAATAAAAATATTTTTACGAAAATCTGAACCAATTACAGAGTTATTCATAAAGTTTATGATAACTGTAATTACTTCATCTTTGTTTTATATTTGAATAAACAATTTAATTTAATTTGCATAATTTTTTTTAGTTGAAAGACAGGAAACTTAGTTGAGTTTGTATTATTTTTATTGTTCAATTCATTGTATATGTGAGTGATCCAGATATTTAAGATATTTAGAAAAAATTTATTAATTTGATTTACAAATTTTAATCAAAATAGCAAAAATCTATTTGATAGCTGTAAGCAAATAATAATTTCTATTTCAACCAAAATCACTTATTTTCATCTAAACGTATAAAATTGTCAATTTTATGAGAATAAATTGAAAATCTCATGAAATGTAAAGGAGAGTAATATTTTTCAATTTTCTTTTTTCTTTCTCTCAAATATTTTCTATTGGGAATTTTCTTGTTATCAAAAAATAATTTTAATATTTGTTTATTTCATTACATACAATAAAATTTTAAAAACTCTATTTCTTCTCAAGAAAATTTTTTCCTTCATATGAAGAAACATTTTGTTCTCCATTTGATACTGAGTCTAAATCTCGATTTTTGAATTTTCTTCTTTCCAAATTTCTTTTTTCCAAATTAGAAGTTTAATTCAAATTTTCAATAGTTTATATATTTTCTCAAACCGTCTCAGATTTTCTCACTTTTTAGGGATTTTCTCTCAAAATATACAAAAATAGTAATACCAATACATGTGTCTAATATACTTTAAAACCATCGTGATAAAATTCAAAAACGAAGAGTTCTTCTCTCCAAATATAGATCCGTATTTTTCCCAAGTGAGCGGGGTATCTCCAATCCCAGCCCTATCGTCCTCCCAGTGTCAGTTTTCAATATAAAATCCAAATTTTTTTTGAAAATAAAAATTTCGAGAAATTTTTTTGATTTTTTTCTTTGATTTCAATAATTCAAAATAAATTTGGGAGTAAAAAGACACTATTTAATGAAATTCATATGAGTGAATGTGGATAAATACTCTCAAAACATACAATTTATCTATTTTTTCTTTATATTATCAACTAATTAGTGATAATTTTTTTTGAATCAGATTTTTTTTTCATTAAAAACATAATATATAACACAACAATGATGCACACATACGTATCTACACATCAAAATATAAAGCTTGTTTTGGTCTGGGCATCCCAACCCAAAATTCTTAAAAAATTGAATAAAATTGAATACTTGGGGCTGGGATACCCATCCCAAAACCGAATTGAATTTTTTGAATTAAAGAATATATTTATGTATTTATAATATACATGTGATGTCTATAAAAAATACTAAATTCTAAAAAAATTCAATTTATTCAAAACGTATACTAAGTGATCACTTCATTAGTAGGATCAGCAATCCTACTAAATGGTGAGAACGCCACTAACTAAAAAGGGAGTCCTTGGAGCTCTTGATCTCTTGTCAGTAGAGTTCATAATGAGGCATGGCATCTACTGATTTGAGATCAGAGCAATCCTACCTTACCTTCAGGAGCTACAAAGCTCCTAATCGTTACGAGAGGGAGCCTTGGAGCTCCTGAAGCTCATCAGCAGAGGCTATTTACCATTTGGGCCTCTTCTGATGAAAGATGCGAAACACATCTACGAACCAGGAGCTCCAAAGCTCCTAATCCTTACGAAAGGGAGCTTTGGAGCTCCTGAAACTCCTTTTACTATAAAATAGGACAGTTTTCTTCTGAGGTTCTCATCAAATCTAAGACTTCAGAAGAAAGCTGTCCTATCAATGTATACTTACACTCTCATGGACTACAAGTGTACAATTTTAAGGCAGAGATTATCCGAGGCTCTCATCAAATGAGGGACCTCGGATAATCTCTACCTTAAGTAGTCAAATAACTTTTCTCACTATTTAGGAACAAAAGAACAAGAGTTGGAGTACTTTAAGGCAAGATTCTTCCGAAATCTCTCATCGAATGAGAGACTTCGGAAGGACCTTGCCAAATCCTTGAACGCCAATATCCTTGGAACTGAGCTAGAACCAGGGAGAAGTAGCATACTATAGAGCACGATGGTAATCTCGGAAATGCTTATATCGCCCCAAGCACAATATTTAAGAAGTCTAACTCATATATACAAGAAGTCAGGCTGAATAGATATTGTGCATATGGTTTGCAGAACTCTCATGATATTTAAAATTCATGTTATCCCAAAAAGGTGACACTTTGGGTGTATCGTCCATCCCAGGGATGCAAAAATCACATCACCTTGGATCTATACTCCAAATTTTTTTCAAAATCAAAAAAATGAGATAAAAAAATACGTTTGGAAAATTCATTTTTACCATTTTAGGAATTTTCTCACTTTTCTTCCAAATTGACATCCTTAGTTCAAGCGAAAAATAACTAGTATATGCATAGGCAAGATCCTTTATACATTGATTATAAGAGTTTTTTGCAATGATTTTCATAATATAGAATTCATTGTAATGTTCATGAGCCAAGGGTTCACTTAAATAAGCGTAGATAATAGAAATTTACGATTATTTGATCAAAAATTCAGAATAAATTGTAAATTGCATGTATTAGCCGTTGCATATAAAAGGGATTATTATAATGTATTTTTATGGATTTTTATCAATTATTGTTTTTGCGAAATGTGCTTATAGATATCCGAAATACATAGTATAATATTTCTTGAAATTTTTGGATTTGTTTTTAACCGTATAATGTTTTGTTCAGAGGGTTAAAAAAAATGAGCGAATAAGGGATAGATAGGGTTTTAATATAAATATAGATAATATAAGGGAGTTAACTAGAAGTATAAATCTTATTTGACTTCAAGAATGATGGCATAATTGAAGCAATTTCTTCGTACATTTTATCAAATTCAGATCTTCCTCAGAAGTATGGATCTGGAATGCCTTCAGATGAATAAAGCATAAGTTTTGCTTTTGAATCTTCTGACTTAATTTTGAGTAATGTGTTATAAACTTTTTTATCTATGGCAACTATATAATCAAACAAGATCCAATCGTCAAGTCTGATTGTTCTAGCTCTATGCTGACTAATATCAATACCATGCTTCTTCACAATACGGACAGCACGGTCGTCAGCTGTTTCATTTCTATGGAGACCTGATGTTGCTGCGGAATCAACTCTTAAAGCTCCACCAGTGATCTTATCGCAGATTCCTTGACACACTGGAGATCTGATAATATTTCCAGTGCACACGAAGAGTATAGATTTCTTTTGCATTTTGATTTTTTGTAAAGATCAGAAATTAGGGCCAAATCTCACATCAAAAAAGATCCATTCAATTTTTAAAAATTTTAATATTATACTTATATTTTGATCCATGTGAATATTTTCAAATATAAAAATTTTATGCTTTGAAATTTTTGATGGGTTGATAAATTTTCAATCTCAATAATCCATTTAATGTATTACATATATGACGTCATAAACGATTTGTAAATTATAACTTTTCATAGATTTCAAAAGAAGATTTTGCTGCATTCAAAAAAAATAGACATCAAGAATTTTTTGAAAATCAATTAACTACATGAAAATGTTAATTGGAAACTTGGCTATTTAATTTCAATGGGCACTTTGAATTTTATCTCTAAAAATTTTCATTTGAGATAAATTATCCCTTTTGGCAAAATTGTATTTTGATAAATATTAATAATGCAGAAGCAAAATATATAATATTTCCAATTTGTCACCTTTGTAATTTCAGAGATCAAACCATAATCATTTATACTTTATCGTCCAATCATTTATTAATTTGCAAAACAATATAAACTGTGCATGATACTTTAATGATGAGCAAAAGATTCGTTTATATTTCATCTTCTGTTTTTCCAATTTTTGTTCGTCCTCTTAAACTCCAAAGGGTGTCATTTTCTTCAAAACTATCATCTATGTGTCAATGGCACACATGTGTTTTGTTTATAGAAAGATATCTTGGATCAATTATTGATTTATAATTATTTTTTCTATTATAATAGATCTAATACTGAAACAATCATCGAGTATGAGATTCCTTTGCTCGAATAGCATTTATGTAAAATTGATAAATCAAATTGTCAAATGGAATAATGAAATGAGTTATAAAAGCATGAATGTTCTCTATATAATGTATTTTAGTTTATTTCCATGATTATCTAATGCTACTTTAACATGTAATTAAATAACTTATGATAATGTATCACATACTGTAAAGTTGATAAGATATTTTATTAAATTAGTGAGTTGTGAGTAGAACTAAACTTCTTTACTCATTTAAAATCCAATTTTACTCTGAATACTTTATCAATTAAAAGTCTTTGGTATTAAGTAGATTTTGAATATGTCTAAAAATAGATTACATAGTCTACATTTACACGTTTTTGATATTTCCTGAATCAACTCGGAGGAATCTACCCCAAAGTATGAATTGCCTTATATTCATCTCATGCATTTGATTCTGATATATATTTGAAACTGATCTTATAGAACTTATATAGAGATTGGATAATCACTAGTAACAGTATATGGAGCTTTGAAAAGAAGGGGAAAAACATTTCATATATAGCATATTTATTACACAACAAAATCAAATTCTATATTTTTGGAAACCAATATAAATTAGAGTCAACAATACAAACAAAATAGCTTCAAATGGATAGCGAGCCAAGCTATTGCTGCTTTCAGTCTTTACACTTTCAGAGTGTATAAGTGGCTTTATTGCAGCTCTTTCTCCAAAAGTTTTTCCGCAGTCTGAATTCAAAAAGACAGAATTAATAAAATCGTTTGCATCTTTTTCGAAAAATCTTCCTTTATATATTTTCATGCACTGACCGAAGAGAGAGATCATGAATGGAACTTCTGAAGATTTCACATTGGAGAGCATCAGCAAATTTGGGGATAATTTTGGAGTTGAAAATCCAAAAATTAATTTGTCGCAATTTTCTTTTTGAAGTTTATAAACAAATTCATCTACAAAATATCTATTACTATCTGCTAGATATATTAAAACTATGCCTTTTGTGCTAACTTCATTAATTTCTTCGTCATTATAAAAATGAAAAGGAGAAAATTGCGTCCTTTTGATGAATTGATTAACAATTGAATTATCACTTGTTGATATATTGCAAATTCCATTTCCAACATAAGCAGTTAACGTTGATTTTTCGATAGAATTATTAATTTCATATGAAAATTCATTGTTTTTTGCAGAATATTTAGCAGCTCTTCTAACTGTTTTAAGCAGACTATCTGATTCAGACTGTGAAACTAAATGATATGAAGTGAATTCTTTAGAATTATTTAATATTTGAGATGAACGATGAATATTTAAGCGTGAATACTGCAATACTGTTTGTGTTATTGTATCATGATCTAATTTTAATATCTTTTTCCAATATCTTCTTTTAGGAGTATCAATTAAAAAACCTATTGGAATGGTTTCGAGTTCAAGTGATTTACAAATAGTAACATTGCGGCAATTTATGAGCATACTTGGTAATCCGTTCTTTTTCTTTGTTATATCTAGAGATTCATAAGTTTCTTCAACATTTTCGCAACCAATACATGTAGGAGTATAAAATACTGCCAAAAATGGTGTTTTTGCACTATTATCTACCATTTCATTGAATTTTTTCTCTTCAAATTCATAGTTTATACAAGATGATAGATGAAATAAGATGAAAAACATTCAAAGAAATGAATTATTATTGATTGAGTCATTAATTTTGTAGATAATGCATTGAAATTGTTCTAGATATATGGTATTCAGCTTAATAAAATTATATAATTTTGTTATGACTTAAAACTATAGGGAGATTATATTGTTTTCCGACATTAAAGTTGTGGTTTGCTGATTGATAGGTTAAAAAAGGATATTTTGAAATAATTAATAGAAAAAAGACAAAGAAAATAATTTATAAAACACATAAAAAGGAATAAATAATACTTATACAATTATTATATCTATCTTGGGATGCGTGGTTGTATTTTCATCTGTGGAGTAATTTTAATTGGAATTGTTGGCCTCTTTTTAGGCTTTGGCGGTTCATGAAGTGGTATCTGATACATCTGGTGTGGTATTGTTGGTGTAGCCGTTCCAACAGCCATTGTTACAAGCGGTTTATTCCTTCCGCTTGGCGGATTTGGAGTCATAGCAACCTGAGGCCTTTCTGCTAGCGGGGAAGCTGTTTCCGGTGGTTTTTCTGTATCGTTAATTACCCAGTCATATTGCCAATCGTAAACAAAGCCTTCTCTTATAAATAAATCTCTAAACATTTTTCTGTAGGCTGCGTAGTCAGGGCGCTGTACAAAATCTAATTTACGTACTTCGTCGAGATATACTGCAAATTCTTGTGGAATTCCTTGGCATAAACTATCTATCGGTGTAGCAACTTTTTTCTCTGAAATAAGTTCGTATTTCTTTTTACCTTTCTCGGGTATTCCTTGCCATGGAAGTGGACCTTTCAATAAATAGATTAAAACGTAACCAATTGCTTCCATGTCGTCTCTTCGAGATTGCTCTATGCCAAGATGAGTATTTATGGATGCGTATCTAGCTGTGCCGGTTAGTTTCTTTCCTTCTTTAAATGGGATATGTTCATTCGTTTTTGGATCAAAATATTTCTTAGATAAGCCAAAATCGATAAGATATATTTGATTTGCATGGTTACCAATACCTGTCATGAAATTATCTGGTTTGATATCTCGATGAATTAATCCTTTTGTATGTAAATATTCGATTCTACAAAGCATTTGATCAGCAATCATTAGAACAGTTTTAAGAGAAAAGCGTTTTTTGCACATAACGTATAGGTCTTCTAGTGATTTGCCTAACATATCCATAACCATTACATTATATTCTCCTTCGACACCAAACCATTTCATTGATGGAAATCCAGTCGCTGAGTTGAGAAGTTTGTATATTTTGGCTTCCATGTATAATTGTGGAGGTCGAGTTTGTTGAGATTCTAATTTAATTGCTACTTCTTCTTTTGTAATAACTTGTTCACCGCTATAGATGTCTCCAAAGCTGCCGCCGCCTATTCGGCGTTTCAGCCGAAACTTCGACCCAACTCTAAGATCCATTGCGGAATTTAACAAATTTTCGAGTTTTTTTTTCAAAAATTTCAACGATAATTTTTCATAGAAAACTTTTACAAAAAATTGTAACCAGACAGTTAGTTTGAGTAAACTCACTATGTTGTAAAGTGGATAGTAGATAGATGCCGTAAGCTAAAGATAAATACAAAAAAGCAATATTCTGACTGAGGAAATGACAAAATTTCTAAAAATCATATTTATTCAAAGAATTGATGCAAGATTAGATGATGCAAATCCTAATTAAGAGTTTTTTGATGTGCTTTGATTCCAAATCAGAAGGGAGAATTGCACAATCGGTAGATTGTCTTCCATAACCAAATCACAATGATAATAATCAATTTTGCATGGATTTTATCACATTCATTACAACAATTTTAGTGAAAGTAGACGAAAATGGTTCTCGAAATTGTTGTTTGATAAAATCAATCTAGTTCTAACCATGATTATATTTGTCGCATAGATATTAAGATAAATACCATTTTTGCATGAATAAAAACAAAAAGATATTGTTACAATATATTTAAATATAGAGAGGCATGAGTATTAGCTTTCTGTCGAAATTTGTGATAGTAAAGATGGGTCGAGAAAGATTTCTTAAATATAATAATAAATTCGAAATTATCTCTTTGAAAGTCAGCATTGGTAGAAAGCTGAGAAAAGAATTAATTATGTGTATGTGCGGTCTGAAATAATCTTATAGATGAATGAAAAAATCTCAAAATATAATATTGGCGAAATTATTTTTTTAACGAATTCATAAAACTTTGTATAGTAGATTCAAGCATTAGAATTATGCGCTTAAGAAACTTGTGCGCTTTTCTCTAATAACCTAGAAATGAATGAAATATTCCATGATTCGAAATAAGAAAAGTGACATTTCCAAAATTCGAACGATAAAAAAATTTGAATTTTTTTTTATAAATAAATAATGGGACAAGACCAAAGTACTTCTGATAATGTTGAAGGTGATTTTCTTATCGATGGTGGAGCTCCAGAAAATTATGTTCGTATGACCTCTGATCGTGATGGCGTTGTTCCTTTCTATCATGAAGCCGAACAAAAAACACACATTGGAGACTATGGCTATGCAGCCAAATGGTCTGTTATTAGTGGCCAAGGTGTTTCGCCTTTGTCCAGAGGCGGCCATTTCACTGTTTACGTAAAAGAATTAAACCGCGTTTACATTGGATACGGATCAAACCAAAAAGGAGAGTTATTTGGTGACTGCTGGTATCTCGACATCAATACTCTTACATGGCATTTCTTCCAACTTAGTGATGACATTGTTTCCCCACGTACAGGAGCTCGTGCAACACTTGCCGGCTCTAAAATTGTTGTATATGGTGGTTATAAGGATCGCCAATATCTCGAAGACTTGCATACAATAGATATTTACACAGGAAAAGTTGCTCGTGTAAATACTTCCGGAGATACTCCTGGACCAAGATCTGCAGTTCTTATTGCATACTACAACAAGAATCTTTTCGTTTGGGGTGGATATAATGGTGTTTGGCCAACAACATTACACATATTAAATACCGAAACAATGATTTGGCAATCAATCGATCCCAATATATCCGGACGTACTGCTATTCCTTACGGAAAGATTGGAGAAACCTATTACGGCTACGGTTGCAGTAAATCCGGAGGTTTCGTTGTTTTTGATGCAATTCAAAAGAGCCTCAAGGTTATCAAGCCACAAGGTATGGCCCCACGTAGTGACGTGATGAATGCTGGCATGTGTTCCGTTGATAACTATTTATTCTATTTTGGTGGCAAATACGATGAGAATTACTCGAATGTTTATGTTTACGATGTTGAAAGGAATACATTCTTCATCCTCCCAATTGCCCCTGATGATGAAACTGTTTCTCTCGCTGATGGTGAAGTAAATTCTGAAGGTTACCTTATGCTTCCACGTCGCCATAGCTTTACATTGTTCTATAATGACAAGCGCCGCCAAATGATGGCTTGCCTTGGCCTTCCAGAACAAGATGTTGTTAATATCAACGTTTTGTCAATTTCAGATGCGCTTTCAGTGATTCACCTGCAGAGTGATTTAGTTCGTATGTTTGATGTTAAGAAATATTGAAAAATTTTCCTGTATTTTAAAAAATTTCATTTATTTTTAGATGTTGAGTTCTGATAAATCTATTTTGGAGTGCATTCGGTTATATCTTCTTCTGATCTATCAATGGTCTGTTAAAACAAATTTACAGTTCTTGTATTATTATAAAATTGCCTTAAATTAAGTGAACGATGTCTCTCTGTTCATTTCAGATTGAGTTATGCTGACGAGTTCATCTGAATCATATTTTTATCGATGGATAATGTTTATAATGAGACCGTAAAAGGTGACATTTATTTATCCGTCTCAAAAAATTCAATCAAATTTTGCCCGGAAGAATATTTATTGTATTGGCTTATTGTGTTAAAATACTAAATAATTATTGCCAAATAATGTTTCAAATTAAAAACAATACAAAATTATTTGGATAGAGAAATGGGAAACTGCAATTCCCAGCCTCTTTCCAAAGTGAAGAATACAGAACTTCTGGCCAATAAGAAACCTGAAGTACAAAAAGAAAAGCCGAAGAAAGTTTGCGCAAAGAAAGAAGATTCAGAACCGGATTCTGAGCAGAAATCAGCTAAAGAAAATATTATAATTGAAACAAGCAGAGATCAATCAAGACCATACTTCTCATTTAATGCTTTCTTTTATCAAAATGAAAAACCGCAGATTTTTGATTGGCTGTTTTTACAAGAGCTATGCAATGGCACGACATCTCAAATATACCTCGTGAAAAATGTTGAAACACAAGCTGTTTGCGTTGCAAAGGTTTATAATAATTCTATCTTATACAGGCAACCTCTTGGAAATGAAATTCCTCCAATAGATTCATTCAATAAAGAGATCGATGTAATGTGTCAGCTTACATATCTTCATATCATGTCGTATCACGAAATGGTAGATGATCAAATGACTAATTCAAAGATATTAGTACTTCCTTACGCCTCGTTAGGAAACTTAAAAACAGCAATGAGTAATAATCAAATTAGTTATGAAAATTTAATAGTTTGTTGGTATCAAATTGCTGGAGCTTTAGATTACATGCATTCTCATGGTTTAGCCCATAGAGATGTTTGCCCTGAAAATATATTAGTTTTTGTGGAGAATTATTTTTGTATTCATCATTTCAAGTCGGTTACAAAAGTTGATAGTCCAGACCTATCACGTACCTTTGGTACATTCAGATTTTTAGCGCCCGAAGAACTAAATGGAAAGACATACGATGTTCGAAAATCAGATGTTTGGGAACTTGGAATTACAATATACTGGGCATTTTTTCGCAAAAAACCGTTTGATTTGGATATTGTACAGATTGATGACAAGCCTTATAAATATGACAAACTTTATCAGCACATTATGCAAAAACCACTTGAAATCCCAAAGATAGATTCTATATCTACGGAAATAACTGATCTTTTATCTACAATGCTCGAAAAAGATCCAGATAAACGTCCAAATTTCGCAACAATTTTAGAATCTCATGTTTTGATGATGCAAGAATACTCCACTTCAATGATACAATAAGTGGAGAGGTGTCGCTAACCGGAGAAATTCCGAAATCCGGATAATATGCGGTATATCTATATAAAAATCTTGTTTGTTTTTTTGATAAAAAAAATTTTCAAAAAAATTTTAGTTATATTTTGAGAAGTTTACAATAAATTTATTAATTTTAGGATAATGGCAGATAATCCATTCACGGATGAGCTAGCTGATGTCGAACTTCCTATTTTGCAAGACGAACCAAAGAAGGATAAAAAGCCTGCACCAGCTCCATCAGCAAGTAGCTTAGGAAATAGTAAAGAAGATTTGAAAGAAAGATATGAAGCACTTAAGAAGCGTGAAGAATCAATTAAAAAGCGCAGACAAGATCTTACAAATCAGGCAGAACAAGGCCCACAACAGAATTGGCCATCTTTCTTCCCAATTTTAAGATACAGTCCTGAGATTGATCTTCCACAAGCTGCAAGAAGATGTGTCAAGTTATGCTTTATTGGCCTCATTATCTTCACGATACATACATTTTGGAACATCGTAGCTGTTCTTAGCGTTAAAGGAATTTCAGACTATAAATTAACTAAAAATATTGTCATGGGAATACTTCAAGGTGTTGCAGGATTTTATGTATTCCTTAAATTCGGCTACCAATCCCTTTACGTTTGCTGCGCAAAGCATGATATTCAGATTCGTTGGACAGTTATACAGATTGCTATCATTGGTTGGAGCATTTATCTACTTATTGGATTCCCAGACAGCGGCTGTGTCGGAATTGCCGTGTTCCTCGATCTAATCGCAAAATCTACTTCTGTTTGGGCGAAAATCGCTGCTTTTGTCAATACTGCTCTCCTTGGCTCGAATTTGTTCTGCCAGTTCGCAACATTCCTTCAATCTCAACAATACCAGAAAGTTAGCGGAAAAGAAGATAACGCTCAACTTACAAACCCAGATCAGATAGATACACCTTTGAATCTTTAACTCGTTTTTTGTAAACTGTATTTTCTTTTAAAAAAAATCTTTTTCTTGTTCGAAATTTGAAAAATAATTAGCTAAAATGCAAATTGTATATTCAAACCTACATTAACAAATATATGTTGTTTAAAATGAATTGACGGCAAAGTATGATTTGTTGTTGAAAACAGTATATTTCGAAATTTTGTGATTTTCAATTAGTTTTAGAAAAAATGAAGGGAGTGCGAGCAACTGATTCACGTGAAGATATATTATCTAAAGTTGTAAAATAAAAAATTTACCTTTGTGAGATGATTTTGCATACCGAGGAATATATGAATGATCTATTTGAATTCCAAAGTTATATCTTGATTCAATTGGATTAATTCATTTCTCATGTGCATTTTGAGCTAGAAGAAGGGAACACATCGACGATAGATAAATTAATCAAAAATTGAATGGGAAGTCTATACCCCTCTCAATTTAACGTACAGTTCATTGAAACTTCAATGCTTCCACAAGTAATATGGCCTTATATTAGACTTCAAATTACAGAATGAAAGTTTAGGAGAGGCTTATGTACTAGTAAATACTAAAAATGATTCCACAATATTTACATTACATTATCCATGTTTCACTGCATACAACTGCACACCATACATTACAAAGTTTATCCCAGGAAATTACAAATTTGAACTCATTGGTGCTGCAGGTGGATCAGCGACATCAATCAAAGGCGGATATGGAGGCATCAGCATTGGATATTATAAAATTAATGTCTCTATAGATGCATTTATCCATGTTGGTGGAAAAGGCGAAGATGGCCTGTTATATCATAATAAAAATTTAAATACTCCCGGAGGTTATAACAGTGGGGGTATTGGTGGATATGATACTGCTTCTTATGCCTCAGGGGGAGGTGGTGGTAGTGCAGACATCCGAATTGGTACTGATAAAATTGAGGGTAGAATAATCGTCGCTGCTGGTGGAGGGGGTGCTTGTGGACAAATTGTTAATAACCATGGAAGCGTTGGAGGTAACGGAGGCGGAATTATAGGTGGTGATGGAGCTGCCTTTAATACATATGGTAAAATGGGCAGTGGAGGATCTGATATTGCTGGTGGAACTGCATTCACGAATCGAGGTGCCACCAATGGAAGTCTGTTTTATGGTGGCGCTGGATCAAATATGTTATATGCATACGGAGGTGGTGGAGGTGGAAGTGGATATTATGGAGGTGGAGGTGGTTCTTCAACCGAAAATCATAATTATGGTTATTGCGGATCTGGTGGTGGAGGAAGTGGATATATTGGTGGTGTGTGGAGCTCAGAAAAGTTTGGTGTTACTGCAGAAACGAAGTCGAGCACGAATGATGGAAACGGATATCTGAAGATAACTTATTATGGCAGATTTCCATTATATAATATATGTAAAACGATTATTTGTGCCTCAATGTTCCATAGTTATGCCTTTATTCTTTTGTTTTCGGTTGTTATAATGAATAAAGATTAGTTTTTTAATAAAAATCTGGTACTCAGTGAATCAGTATTGTTTTAAAATGCTTCCATTATAAATTTTATCTTATTTTTCCCGAGATGCCGAGAAATGATTATCTTGTATCTTATGTAAGTTTATCTGGATAGAAAATATAAAGTAAATATAAATATAATATGTTTGAATGTATATTCACGAAATTAAATAATAAAGAAAACTAGTTAAGAATGAAAAGAAAAATCCATTTTTTGAATTTTCTGAAATAGAGTCTTCTTCTAAATTGGTTTCTTCTTGTCGTTCTGAACGATGATAGTGCTTATACAACAGCCCTCTATCATCCCAAAGTTCTGGATCGGCACCATGAGAAAGAAGAAAGTTTTCCATATCAATATCGTTATTCATGGCTGCATAATGAAGAGGAGTAAGGTATGTATAATCTCTGCAATTGACATCAGCACCATGAAGAATAAGAAATGAGACTAATTCAAGTAACTTCTCTGAGCATGCATTGTGAAGAGCAGTAGTACGTAAATTTTGAGTAGCATCAATACGAGCACCATTTAAGTAGGAGAGATTGTATTATAGGATTCTTGCATTTTCGTCATATATTTTGTGCTTATTTGATTGTGACTTTATACTTTGTGGTTGTTTTTTGTGCATTGGTGTTTGTTGAAAATATACTGGAAACATAGAATGCGTTAGGTTTATTTGAAAACAAATCTCTTTCTAATCCTATTGCCTTTGCATCTGGAAGGACTTTTGAAGCCAGCGAATTGGATAAGTCAAAATCGTATTAGCTGGATGAAATTTTTCATCTGAAATAGTCCTACAGCTTTGTAAAAGATATAGTCTAACGGTTTTGTATCTGCTACTTTTGTTCTTGTTTTTCAACCTCAAGCATTTTAAATATTGTAAAAATATGTTGTTTAAAATGGTTGCCATTTCATATTTCTCATCTAACAAACAAGTTCCCAACGGTCTCTCAACAAACTCAGCGTACATTTCAAATAAAAAAAAAATGTCACTTTTTAAAATAATTTTTTTACTTCATGCAATGTTTTATTTCTGTGCCGTCTTCAAGTATGCCCAATATTTCCTTTTCGATATTACATGAACTTCGGTGAAAATTTTGTCCAAATTTGAAGAACACCATCTTCTCACCGACTAAAACCCATTTCAATGAGTTTGTTGTATCCTTCTTTCGTTCGTCATGAGTGCGTTCAATGTTCTCATAGTAAACTCACAACTTTCGATTTGACTTCGGAGAAGAATTTGTTGTAGTTGTCAAGGACTGGCTTTGCGAAACTGAGGGTAAGCCAATGTTGACAATAGGTTTTAATGTGGTTACTAAGCCACTTGACCTTGAGTGAATTCGTACTTCAAAACAAAAGGAGAAACCTTTCAACAAAGTTGTCGACCTCTCATAATGTTTACTCTTCATCTCTTGAGGTTTCTTAATGGATATCCCCATGTCGAATTCATAAGCAATTTGAGTGTCATGCAAGTTTGGGGTTTGAAGCTTTCCTAATATCATACAGTTGTTGTATGACTTTTCCACTGATAGTTCCTTCCCGGAAACTCACCATCTTCGTTTGGAATTCCAGTCGGAATATATTGGACAAACCTCATGTATGCAGCGTTAAGGTCGACATAGTATATTCTTTTCATCTGAGTCGAACTTTGTCGCAACCAATTGGTCCAGTTTGTGGAAATTCAAGTGAGTCTCTTATCTTCTGAGAAACTTCCACTGTTATCTCATAAACATCGTCGAAGCAACCTGTTTCATAATAAACTTCTGACTAAACTCAGGATGCTCTCCAATACAATTTGACGTCAATTGGATGTCTCAATGGAAGTTGTTTATAGCATCTTGAAGTTCTTGCAACCTCATTGGAAGTTCTTCTGGTTCAGGTTTGGTATCCGAACAATCCAACTCCTTGTGGAATTGTGTACTTCTTTTGTACTAGAACTTTTGTCTGGAACAATTTTGGTCTTGCTAACGTGAAAAGTTTGTTTCGTCTTTTTGGTACAAAAGTTTCTGTCAGCTTTGTCATCTGGAATTGGTTCCCAACACACTTTCTCGACAAAGAATGTTTACAGCTCTGACATGTTGCACTTGCCTTTCCGAACAATGGGTTTTGTAAGACTTTCGTTCAACATGAAGTGGTTGTGGAAATTACAATCTTCAACCATGGTAAGTCTTTGTCAACAACATATTCGTCATGTGAAGAACCTTTTTAGCTGTATGGTATGTTGACTCGGATATTGACATTTGCCAACGGTGCAATTTTTGCCAATTGACCTCTGAGAATGTACCTTGTCTTCACACATGACTCAAGATACTTCATCTTCTCTTCTGAAACAAGACCAGAGTTTCCTGAGACATGTAAGAATGCAAGGTTCGTTGACATTGTTTCAATGAATTGTAAATTCCATACTTGTCAAGTCAATGTCAGACTTATTTATGAAGGGGAAGTATCCAGCATGTTGTCTGACTGCTTGAGGGTTGGTTGGTACCATTCGAACTTGACACTTGCAATTCCTTCAATTGCATTCAAAATGTCTGAGTCGGAGTCAACCATTTGTTCTCTCTTTGTAGTCTTGAAAGCGTCAAGAAGCATTGCAGCTGTTTGTGACATTGCCATGTGCATAGTAAATGTGACCATCCAAATCTGTTATGGTCAATCTGAGATTGTGTCCTTTCTTATTTCCGTCTTGTATGGCAGAAGTACCCATGAAGCCTTCTTTGTTCTTTCCTTCGTCAAAGTTTACTGTAAAGGTTCGACCAGAAGTAATTTGACTTCTAACTTCACGGTACTTCTCATATGCATATCTTGTTCTTTCCATGGGGGCATGACCATCCTCTGCACTACCTTTTTTCCTTCTCAAAGGAATGCAATTGTTCGTCATGTTTCCAGTAGAATCTGGCAAAGCCGTCGTGTCCTTCAACTTGAGGTTCACTAACATCGAAAGGCATGTCCATAAGACGTTCTTCTTCTAACCTCTCTAGTCTGTTTGGATAATTGGCACGTGCTGTTTCCAATCCATTCGTAGGTCAGACACCAGTTTTGCATAGACTTTTATGGGTCTTCCTTCCTATATTTAAACTTCTTCGAAACTCTCCAACCATATCTTTGCAACACTCTGCTTTTTATTCTAGCAGATTTTCTATCCATTCTATATGGGGGCATTTTTATAAAAAGAAAAAAAAATATTTTTTCTTTACTTTACATAACCGCCTGCTGCATAAGTCTTTGACGCCAACCCCATACCAGCTAATGAAGGTTGACTTGGTTTAGTTTCCAAACTAAACTTTGGTTTTGGTTTATCTTCGGTTTTTGGTTTTTCTTCTTCTATCGGTTTTTCGTCACTTTTCGGTTTCTCTGACTTTACTTCACTTGCAGAAACAGTTTGTGTCGTCAACATCTTCATAAATATAATATGCCATTTGTTTTTGTTTTCCTTTCAACTTTTTGTGTTTGTTGTAAAGTTTAGAAATATTTCGACTCTAAGTCAATGAGATGTTCTATAATGAACTGTTGGTCAGTGAAGTAAATTTTCCATCTGTTGTCTCGAAAGCTCCTTCAGACTTCAATATTTATTTGTGAGAGTCTGTTTCTTTTTTGAGATACTAGCCGTTCCATTTTTATGAAAAGTGACTTTGTAGTTAGGGTTTGTATTTCCAGACCTGGCACTTTCTATTATTGAATTTTTCTCTTCATCTGTAAGTTTTTGACAGGTTTTGACAATGGTTCTGAACTTTTTGTTTGTGGTGTCAAATCTACCGTTTCAACTTCTTCGGTCATTTCATCTCAGTAAAAAAATTTTAGTTTGGTTTGTTTTCAACTGGTTGTTGTTGTTTTTTAAGTCGTCTAAAACTTCCTGAGGTATAGGAAGAACTTGACAAACACGTGGTGTAACTGCTGGAAGCCGACAAATCCATCTTGAACTCATTTGTCTCAATGCTGCATTGTTCATTTCATCTCAATAAAAAACTTTACATTCCCCACGTTTGAGGCGTTGAGGTTGGTTATTGTTTACCCACTGTTGTGCATGGTTATATCCTCTGTTAAAGAATCTTTCACCTGGTCCATATAGTGCCTGCTTGGTTATAGTAGTCATTTGCTTTGTTATAATAGTTTCCTGCTTGTCTTCCTACATTGTCCATCCATCCTTGAACTTTTCCTCTTGTTTCAGGATTTGGAAATAAGATTTGTTGCATCTCGTGCTACATCCCAACCTTTCTGTACAGTTTGTATAATAGGTTTGTCTTTCTCTTTAAGTATACCTAATGTACTCAAAATCTTCCTTCCAACTCCAAATACACCTCTGGCAATTGTTCCCACTGCGGCAAAAATCTGGATGCAACTCCTGTAATGCGCCAAATAAACCCATTTCTTATAGGGTAAAAAATGACGAATCCAAACAAGGACCCCTATGTTTCTAAAGCGACAAAGAAAGCACTCATGGTAAAAATCTTTAGTTCAACACCAAAATGCTTGGTTTATGGATATCTTGGAAAACATTCCGAGAGTTAGAACAGATGGACCACCATACTGGCTAATATTTGTCGGTCAAAACACAAGATACTGTGAAGCCATACCATTATGGTCCAAAAATATTTTAGATGTGAAAACTGCTTTGACAATATTCGTTGACAAAATACCATCCAACAAAACTGACATCTGACTGTGAAAGTTCTTTCAAATCAGATGATGTAAAAAACTATCTGCGTTCAAAAAATGTAAACCAATATTTCATTGTCGACCAAAACCATTCTGCTCTTGGTGTCATTGACGGTTGTATAAAAATGTTAAGAGACTTAAACCAACCACAAGGTGGTGAAGCAAATGAAATGTCATATGACGACAAATATAGACACTTCTCCATGGCAAAGATGAGACAAGTTTAAAATATTTACAATAACCGTAAACAAAAAGGTTTGGGAAACCACTCCCCCGAAGAAATGAAAAAACAACCCTGACTTAGAGAAAGACTATATATTTAATAATTTAGTC